CCAGGCTCTTAACCCCCAGGTCCCTCACCTCCTCCTCACCAGCCATGTTCCCCAGACCCTCCCCCAGCTTTGTCACCCATCTCTGGACCTGCTCCAGCCCCTCAAGGTCTTTCTTATCCTGTGGTGCCCAAAACTGGCCCCAGTGCTGAAGCTGTGGCCTCCCCAGTGCTGACTGCAGGGGTACAGTCACTGCCCTGCTCCTGCTGGCCACACCAGTGCTGACCCAGGCCAGGATGCTGGTGGCTTCTTGGCCACTTGGGCACACGCTGGCTCATCATTAAAGACAGAAAAGGTCCTTTTCTGGCAGGCACTTTCCAGCCACTCTGCCCCAAGCCTGGAGCATTGCCTGGAGAGTCCTTCCAGCCTGCACTAAAAACTGTCCCTCCCACCCAAGCCAGGGCTCAGCTCTCCAAAGCCCACCACATCCATGGGTCTCCAGCACCCAGCTCAACTTTCATGAGGTACACGTGCTTGGGGCTTGCTTGGTTACAAAGAGTTCAAGTCTCAGGATGTTCTGGGGTTTGGCAACACCAAGAGGGATGCTCTGGAGGTGTGGGGGTGAGGGGCTGGTAGCCCAGGTCCAAGCAGCTGTGTGCATGGTCCTGGGGGGCTTCTTCCCCACCAGCATTTCCATACGAGTATCTTGTAAGCACAAAGAACTGCTGCTGAAGGGAAAGGGGAACAGAAGACACCCACAAACCCAACTTCACAGGCCTTGCCTAGTTTAGCTTTCCACCTGCTGCACCCACCTGTCACATCTCTCCAATGACACCTATTCTTTCCTCCTCCCCCAAAATGAAACGTTTTCACTCCGAATTTTTCTCCCAGCACTTTTGGGTTGAAACATCCCCAGTTTCCCTCACTGCCAGCTGACCAAGAGAGGGGTCATCAAGAGAAGGATGACAACCATCTGCCCATCAGCCCCACAGCCCTGCAAAGGGCATCTGAAAACCCCAAGGCACTGAACTCAAGGAGGAAAATAAGACTCAGAAAGACATCAGGTCCAGGAGCAGTGGATGGAGGTGACAGGGCCAGGCAGGATTTCTCCAAAAACACTTCACAGCCCATTTGCTTGCACAAAGCAGAGGGGTCTCCTCAAACTGCCCTCAGCCAATGCTGCCACTGAGGTTTTGGACTCCAGAAGCCCCAGAGGCCAGGCAGGGAAGCCAAAGCCCAGGCAGAGCCGTGCCTCACCGTCACCACGACGTACAAGCACCAGATCATGGAGGTGAGATGGAAGGCAACCAGCTGTCCAGACTCATTGAATTTGCTGTGTTTGACCTTGGAGAGATGCAGACGCCTGTTGATTTTCTGGGAAGGTGCAGAGGGAGAGAAAAGGAACAAGAAAACATGAGCCACCAGGTCAACATGAGCCGGAAGGTCAACAACCCTCCCTCCTCCTTCTCCTCCCCATCCCAAGCAGAGATGAAGACTCACTCATCACCACCTCAAATCCCAGACCAGGCCCAGAATGGCATTTAACTGCAGCAGGACCACGTCCTCCCATGGTCCTTGAGCTATTTGGGTACTTGAGACACCAAATGCACTCACGTCCAGGGCGTACTCCTGCACCACTGCGTGCAGGATGATGGCAATGAAGATGTAGAAGAGGATGGTGACCAGATCCTTCAGCCCATAGTGATACTGGACCTGCTCCCCATCTGCAAAGAGACCAAAGAATGGGTCAAATCCCCACGGCCCAAATTCTAGGGAAGGGCTTAAAGGTTAGTGCTGGGGGGTGGTTATGGCCAACACACAGCTTGGATGGGTCCACCAGAGAGGTGGAGAGAGGCCATGACTGTGCCAGGGGCTGCAGGGCTGGAGAAAAAGGCTCTAGCCTGAGTTGGTTCCTCAGCAGAGGATGGATGGATTCACCTCTAGTAGTTACCCACCTCAAGGCAGGTGACACTCAAAGCTTCTCCTGCCTGGAAGGAGAGGGGCTGGGGACAGCCTGGCTGGGGAGACAGGAATTCATCAGCCTGGAGGGATGAAGACACAGAGGCAGCACTGGAGCAGGTGATGGGTGGGCAGAACTCGTTCTTGGCCTCCAGGACACCCTGCTGAGAGTATCAGGGCTCGGGGTGGGACTTTCACCCTCTCTGTTACCATCCAAAAGCTGCTGGAGGATTCAGCTGTCTACGTGCAGATGCCTCGTGCTATTAAGAGATCTGAGACAGCAGCACGAGGCTGGTGGAGGAGAAATAGGACCCACAGGAGGCCCTGCTCCCAAACAGCACCTAAAATACCCCAGACATCTGCATTTAGACAGCTATTTAGACGACTGTGGCAGGGGGGTTGGTCTAGATCCCAAGATTTTCAGGGCAGACCTTTTCTCTTCCCCATGTCTGCTTCATCCTCGTTTCACTGATCCCAACAACCCTGCTCTGCCCTTGGATGACTACTCAAACACTTCTAACTGCCAGGAGCTTCCTGCCACCGAGCCAGGCTCAGTGCCCCAGGCATCTGACCCACCTTGAGCCCAGAGATCTGCCCAAACCACCTCCTGCTGCCCCCATGCCAGTGCCCAGATGGCTGCCAGCCCCCCAGGGGCTCCTGGCTACAAAGGTGGCTCCTGGCAGCCCAAAGACAAGCAGGGCCTGAGCCTCCAGCTGTCTCCTGGCTGGGAGCTGGGGCACATTCTCTGGCCTGTCAGACCTGCACCAGCTCAGAGCCTCCTTGACCTGTCCCTGTGTGCATCGTGTGCTCCCCCTGCAGTGCTGGGGCAGCTC